TTCAAATGAAAAACAACTCACCAATAGTCGATTCCGCTTAGTACTTCAAGTGGCTTATATGCGATTCCTGGCACCTTCGCAAGGTAAAGTCGGTGTTGCTCCTCTGTATCGATTTACCTCGATTTCCCACCCGGGGCGTGGTCCGGCGCACGAGCTCGGTTTCGCGCACACTCGCGGCCGCGATGCCACGCCTCTCGCCTTTTCGCCGACACGACGCACAGCGGGCACGCCCCGCCTTCCGTAGCACTTCACATTTTTTAAAGACACACTTTTATGTAATACAGTAGAACCTCCTTATTCGCGGGGGATACGTTCCGCAAAAATGCCGCGAATAAAGAATCCGCAAATACAGGGTGGCATTTTGTATGGGATTACGGGAATACGTTCCAAGATGACAAATAATCCGCAAATAATGAAAAATCCGCAAATACAGGATGGCATTTTATATGGGATTATAGGGTATACGTTCCAAGGTGTCAAAATAATGAAAAGTACATACATAAAAAAACTATATTTTTATATATATTTATAAATGCATTAGATTAATTACTTTATATATTTGATTAATTATACATATTATACATTAAACATTTTGATCATTTTTGTTCAGAAATAGGCAAAGATTTGAAAAACTTTGTAATTTTTTCTTGCTTACTAGGTTTCAAAAGTGTCTTTAATTCAGACTGATAAACGGCAGTCACATCTGAAATTTGCCTCTTAAAGAGAATACTTCTGTCCATATATTGATCAATGTTCTTAAAAAAAATCACACAGATCATTTGCCATCTTTAAACATTCACTGAGATGATCTTATTTTATCTTCCGATTTTTTTATCGATCGTACGATAGATTCATTAACATTATATCAGCGCGATATGGATGCGAAAGACTTTAAGTCGTAAACGATCAAGTATTTCTTTCTTAATTTTAAGGGACAACACTGACTTTTCTTACCCAACTTTTTTTAGTTGACATGTTAATTTAATTTTTATTTATTGCTATATTAATTAAATTTAAGTTTTAATGTTTAATTTTAATTTTATTTATTTTAATTATTATTATTAATTATATAGAGGAAAAGGTCTGTTAGCACGTGTTACTCGATCACAATATTTGCTACAAATGAGAAAAATGAAGAAATAAAGCATGCATATATGATTGATTCATTCATTCCCTGTTTGTTGATCAAAACTTGATCAAAAACGCTGATAACTGAGAGGACGGCGAACGCAACGCAATTATATAGGTCAAAAAGACGACATTTACAGAAAATATTGGATTTCATATACACTGAAATCCGCGAATAACGAAATTTTTAGCCGCGAATAAAGGTATCGAGTCGCAATTTTTTTGGCCGCGAATAACGAAAACGCGAATGAAGGAGCCGCGAATAAGGAGGTTCTACTGTATTACACTTTTTGTAATTAAACCCTGGATCCGATATTTAGCACATTATATTATAAATAGCACAACTCTACGTAATATTGAGGCATAAGTTATTCACTGGGATGAAACAGGTCAGTCGTTTTGCACAATAATCATCGAATGTTTTTCTAAGAATTTCTAATTTCTAGGAAGTCGAAAAGCAGCCTAAAATGATAAAAAATATTTTTTAATAAGTGATTTAAAAATTGCAAATTTGAAATATGGATCTTAGGATATGGAAGTTTTTATCGATGGATGGACCAGATCTCTGATACATAAAAATTCTTTAAGCACTTCACATTTTTATAAAGACACACTTTTATGTAATATTACACTTTTTGTAATTAAACCCTGGATTAGATATTTAGCACATAATATTATAAATAGCACAAATTTACGTAATCTTGAGGCATAAGTTGTTCATTGGGATGAAACAGATCAGTCGTTTTGCACAATAATCATCGAATGTTTTTGCAATTTCTCAAAAGTCGAAAAACAGCCTAAAATGATAAAAAATATTTCTTAATAAGTGATTTAAAAATGGCAAATTTGAAATATGGATCTTTGGATATGAAAGTTTTTATCGATGGATGGACCAGATCTCTGATACATAAAAATTCTTTAAGCACTTCACATTTTTATAAAGACACACTTTTATGTAATATTACACTTTTTGTAATTAAACCCTGGATCCCGATATTTAGCACATTATATTATGAATAGCACAACTCTACGTAATCTTGAGACATAAGTTATTAATTGAGATGAAACAGATCAGTCGTTTTGCACAATAATCATCGAATGTTTTTCTAAGAATTTCTAATTTCTAAGAAGTCGAAAAACAACCTAAAATGATAAAAAATATTTCTTAATAAGTGATTTAAAAATTGCAAAATTGAAATATGGAACTTTGAATATGGAAGTCTTTATCGATATGGACCAGATCTCTGCTACATAAAAATTCTTATTTTTAATTTATGAAGCTACTGCCTCAAAAATATACTTCGTCTCATACGTCGTGAATTGACCAAGATAATCTTTAATAATCAAGTTATAATTATCATCGTTTTCTCCAATTCTAACAAATAATGAAGCTACTGCCTCGAAAATATTCTTTGTCTCATAGGATTGACCAAGAAAATCTTTAATAACCAAGTGATAATTACCAATCGTTTTTTTTTTTTTCAAATTTAACAAATGTTGTAATAAATGCATCGCAAATATACTTCGTGTCCAGACCGTGAATTGACCTAGAAAATCTTATTATCAAGTTATAATTATAATAATTTTCTGCAAATTTAACTAATAATGAAGCTACTGACTAGAAAATACACTTCGTGTCATAGGTCGTGAATTGAACAAGAACACCTTTAATACTCAAGTTATAACTATAATCGTTTTCTGCAAATTTAACAAATAATGAAGCTACTGCCTCGAAAAAATTTCAAAAAAGAAGAATTCAGAAAAGAAGAAAGGATCAGATTTCTGGCTTTAATTCCATATTGATAAAAGCTTCCTTGACAGTTGATGCCAGAACAATAATAGAGATATAATAAAGAAACAAGGTGATAAACAATAAAGTACTGCAAAGACTTGAAATGAAAAAAGCTCTTCTGCCCTTTAAAAAAAGTGGTTAAAATCCACCATATCAGGAAAATGAAATAGAAAGTCCCTTCCAGAAAAGCCTACAGAATTATAGAAATAGTTAGAAAGTAGGATATGCAAGTAATAGAAAGAGAAATAATTATACTCTACAAATAATTGTAAGGCAATGTACAGGGATTGGAGGCAGCAGAAGTTTAAGGAGAAATTAGTTAGCTATGAACTAAGAGACAAAAATGGTGAACAAAATGTAATGCTCTCAAATTAGGTATATAATCGACCAATAGAAAATAGAATATATATATATATATATATATATATATATATATATAATACATTAACCATCTGAAGGAGCCAGGTCCAACTTACCCAAATTACTCTTTGGCCCAAAATTTAGAAATGTATAAGAAACTGGACCGCGAGTTGTGATGTATCCTTGATATCGGTTATTTTATCCAAAGCTAAGAATTAGCGAACAAATTGTTTCGTACGTTTATTAAGGTTTAGGGTAATGTTATTGTAAATATCATCAACTTTACGTTCAACAGTTTGATGAAAAAGACTCACTTGTTTATAAAAATAAACCTTAATTGGGCTAATTTCTTCAGCTGCAGCAAATGAATATTCTTTTATGTATGCTTTCCTTTGAAAAAGGTTTTCATTTTTGACAATAATTTGAGGAAAATTTAAAACTAATTTCTGGGATTTTCTTTATTTCTTATCTGGCACGTTGGACATGGCATTTTAGATTCTAAAATGTGTGCACATTGATAGCTTATTATATATTATATTATATTATTGCCAACGTAACTGTACTGCTTATAACCGTAAATTGTAATGAAAAGTTCACCATCATGTTACGTTTTTATTTAAAATTCCAGTAGAATCTGTAACAATTTATTTCTTCATTTCCCGCTGACTATTTTCTTCACCGCCATTTTCCGAAGTACCATCTTCCTCGTCTTTTTTCTTCGGATCTTGATCTTGTTTTCTACCAAGAACATCGTTGATGTCTTTGGAAACTCGTTCGTTTACGTTTCGATTCGTTATTTTCCCATCTTCATCTTCATCAGAATCAAGCTTTCGGTTGATGTAGTCGCTCATTATGATGGAGAAAAGATTAAAACTAAAAAAAATATCTATATTAGCTTTAACGTTGTAGTATAGTTATATATATAGTTATATATATATAATATATATATATATATATATATATATATATATATATATTTAAAATTATGCAATCATGTTAGATTCTGATTTTGGATTCCAATACAATTTCTTCATTGGTATATGGGATTGTATTGGAATGCAATGAAACCCCAATAGGAATTAGCCTTACAAAGTGAAAAACTATTTTTTGCTAATTTATTGATCAGTAACATTCATTATATTATATAAATTATATTATATAAATATAAAGAAAGGGTATAACTAAGTTTGATTAAAAAAACATGATATTATTATATTAGAAAAAGTTGTATACATATAGTATTATAGTATATAAGAAAAAAGTGTGCCAATGAAAATTAATAAACAATATAGTAAAATGTATGTAATATACTAATAATATATAATTATTATATAAACTCACAATTAAATTGTTCTTATATATAAAAAACTAAATAGTACTTGAAGCGTTTTTTTTTTAATTTATTTGATTTTTATTATAAAATTCATTTTTTTGTCAAATTTTTGACATAACTAATTTGTCAAATCAAGTCAAAATAAAATAATTTAGTTTAAATATTTTAATATATTTAATTCATTTCAAAAAATTCAAGAAGAACAATAATGCGAAACAAATTATATTGATTGTTTACTAATTTTGCACGTATTTGTTTAATCTTACAATTATGAATTAAATTACTATAAAACTATAATAAAACATTTTTTTCAACTTACAAAATTTTGCATATTTTCATTTTGGCAATTTTTTTTATAAGACTCTTACCCTCTCGAATTTTGCTCGTATGTCAAAGCAACGAGCCGCTTCTTCGGCTAATCTCGAAACACGAGTATTTCAGGTCACTCGTAAGTCGGGGTACCACTGTATTTGGCAACTTTGTACAAAATAATTAATCGACAATAATGTCTCTAAAAATATTGTCCTTTACCTTACCTGGATTTTTCTTCTGATTTCCAGACGGAGCATCGGTGTTGTGCAGCCTGCGGCGAACCAATATCCGACAGGTTCCTGCTGGAGGTCGGCGGAGGCGCCTGGCACGGCTCCTGCCTCCGCTGCTGCGTCTGCAGGTCGCAGTTGGACCGGCAGCCTTCCTGCTTCTTGAGGGAGCGGCAGGTCTATTGCAAGGCTGATTACACGAAGTAAGTAGACACCAGATCCATTTAATCTGTTATAACTTTTGGTAGCTTCGTCTAATTTTAGTAGACTAGTTGGTATTGGTATTTTGTCTTGAGCAAAGTTACATGAACTTCCCTGCATGTGAAAATAATCGACTTAATCAATAAAAAATAAATTAATTTATGAGTGATAAAAAGTATTACGAGTGGATTTCTTACACATTATTGAAAACAAACGAACGAACACGTTAACTCGGAGTATTTTCTAAAAGCAAATTTTCAAAAATCAATAATTTTATAATTGAACCATTTTCCGTAGGACTTTAATGGTTTAGTATGTTCATTAAGACGAAGTACTCTATCGCTATACCAAGTAAATCGTCTAATTTTAATTTTAACAAACGTCAAAAAAACGACTCATTTTCTCAAACTTCGATGAATTTTTATAATTAACCTGCTTGTCGTAAGGCTGTAATGTTTCAGTAAGTTCTGTAAGATTATGATATATATCGCCAAAAAAAGTTTCATAAGAATCGGCTTAAATTCGTTTTTCAACAGTTAATTACAAGGAAACGGCTCAGTAGATTTTCTTCTAAAACTAATCAGTATCATTTCCAACTAATATCTTTCGATCAGTTTTTGATTTATTTGATTCGGTAGTATGAGCTAAAATTTGGACGAAAATTACAAAGAAACGGCTCGGCAGATCGTTGCACAAAACTGACAAATGATAGTCATCTTTGAGATACATCGAATGGCTTTTAGATTTTTAAAATCGGTTCAGACATTTTTGAGAAAACGTCGACGAAATGTCTAATTTTGACAAATACTAAAAAACGCAACTAATTTTTGCAAACTTTGACGAATTTTTAAAATTCGACGACTTGTCGTAGGATTGTAATATTTTAGTATGATCTAGAAGACCATGGTATCTATCGCATCGAATCGTATTTTTTTATGAAAACAAACTTCTTCAAGAAGTAACTAATTTACAATATTTTCTGACATCAGAATCCACTTCGGCAACACATCACAACAAACCACACTAGAAAATGATAAATGAAGTTAAATAAATAAAAGTACATAACCAAATTACTATATGTAGCAAAGAAATTTAAATATAGCCATTTACACCAAAAATGTTGAGAGTTCTATATATATTTGCATAATCATACGTACCAATGAGAAAACCTTTTAGGTCATAGGAAATATTTCAATTACATTCTAGTTATTTTTCTACTTGCCGCGTGTCATTCTATTTTCTGAAGACAATCCGACGAGACTTATTTATTTTATATATCGTTATTGATATGTTTTGATAATATTTTGATTTTATCATCATCATCATCGTCGTCATCGAATTCTCGGCGTCGCAACAACACAATGTTGTTGTTATTTTTATTATAAATCCAAGAGCCGAAGTCGTCGAGTAGTTTCTACAAAAGGAATTCCTCGTGGTATTATTGTGATATTTATTATTTATTCCATCACCTCGGTACATATTCTTGTGGGAGAGTGATTTGTGAAATTTATAATAAATATTGATTTAATTAAAAATATTTATCAGTATTTTGATAGCAAATACCAAGAGGTGGAGATGATTTTAATCGTATTATATATAGTACTTTTTTGTACTATTGTATTTTTTAAGATGACACTTTGGTAAATCTTTGGTAACTTCTAAACCGTTACAATTCATATAGATATATATAAAATATTTAGAAAATTTATACAAAATTAAATAATCTGTAAATGTGATAAATGATAGTCCCACAGCAATTCCGTATATATATATATATATATATATATATATATATATATATATATTTATTGTCAATCAAAACTTTATTAAAGTGTATATTTTAAAATCGCTGTGACAAGAAGCAATTTTTAATCAGATTCGACCTGCAACTTATGTGTTTTTATTTACTACGTCCATTGTAACTTTTCAATAGTAACCTTTAAATATATAGAATAATCGAAAAATTTTCACAAAATTAAATAATCTATTTTAGTATTATAAAATCTTACTTGGTATACTCTAATATTGGAAATAATAATAATATTTTTGATAAATTGCATCACTTTAATGAATCTTCAAAAACTTTTAAACCGTTCGGTTGATTTAAATGTAGTGGCAAAATTTCTTCAAAATTGAATAAACTAAAATTGGATTCACGTTATGTAAAATATTAATATGTATCAATACCAAAGAACTTTTTAAAGAATATTTATAGGTCAAGCGTATATTTATTAACAATGTGGTTAATAAATTTTAAACCATTAAATGAAATAGTGTTTATATAAAAGAATTTGTCCAAAAATAAATATGTTGCACGTTATTTATTATTATACTTCAACATTCAACCCTACAGCAACTCGGTGAACTCATAAACCGCAATGCAAAATAAAAAAAATCTCGAAGCACTTCTAAAGCATTCATAGATTTAGACTTAGATATAATTTTTTTTCTTCTAAGTGTTTACACATGTGTATGACTTATCATAATATATCTCTTACATCAGATACGTTTCGAATAATAAATTGTTTATATTGAATATATCGATTGATATCCCTTTTTTCGGCCAAGTCATCGTTATTGAGCAAAGAAAAATATTAACAAATGGTCTTCTTGAGTTCGATAAAAGTTCAACGGAGCAAGAATTTCCGACTAATCTTCGTTAAATTCACATTAGTAGAAAACGAGGAATGTTTGGACTATTATTTTTCAAAACACATATACACAAACACACACACAGTATATATATATATATATCATTTTACAAATCCTAATAAACAACTCCTACCCACAACACCTGATCCAATCCATAACAAAAAATAGAATCCTATATCTCCAAAACCGTCACAATAATTCAATTGAAAATTCAAACCATGAAAACTACGTCGGAACTATAAGTTTACCTTTTATAAAAGGATTGCATTACCCGTGGAGAAAACTTTTCAGTATCAGAGTAGTTCGAAAACACTCTTACAACTCTTTTTACAAAATTAAAATCCAAATTTGACCCAAAACTCCTATGTAATCTAGTTTATAAGTTTAATTGTATAAATTGTAATTATCTTAACATAGGTGAACAAAGTCAAAACTTGCACAAAAGAATACCACACCACAACATAAAAACAATTCCAAAAACAAAAACCAGTATAAAACAATGCTAACAGATCACATTAATGAGCTCATATATATATATATTTTTTATATTTTTAACAGCAATCAGAACCTTACGTCCTATGAGCTGTTGGGCTGAAACTTCTCCTTACTTCGTATTTTTAGATGGTAACCCAATGGTTATTCCATCCATATTTGATGATTTTTGTTATTAGAATTAATCTAATAGGACTGACTTTTTATTGGTGCAGCAATGCCGGGCAAGGGCTATTTTTACTTGGAAACATATTGCTATCTATATTTCCAAGTGAAAATCGTTGTCACTGCTGCCTGACAACAGGCTGCTCGAAGTGGGTATGGAACCCGGGACCTCTGACACAAGTCCCGTCGCTCTTAACCGCTTACCTACGGGCGAGCCCGAGGTCAAACATAACATAGATTTTTTCAATCCAACGATCTTACATTTTGAAAATAATTTGTTTAAAAGAAGATTTAGCGAAGGATGCCTAATATCATTACACAATGAGACAGCCATAAATAAGAGAACGGTCAACAATTCGCTATGCAATGACTATAAAATAATTCTTGATCATAGAAAATGAAACTTGTTAGTAAAGTTAATATTTTCAACCTACATCTACAATTATCAAAAAAAAAAAATTAGCCACATAGCCGAATTCTTCTTCGCCTCCCATGCAGTCGCACACTTTTTTACTCTTTTTCTTTTTTCAACATTTTACCTTTTACCTTTTTTGCTTTCTCTCCCGTTGTTGGGGTCAAAAATCAAAAGAGACGGAGGTCGCCGCGATGTCGAATGATAAATGATCCGCGCGGTCGAATCTTCGGTCCGACGATCGGTCAGTCAGTCAAATGCTCACATACGGCGAGAGGAATATCGACAGGAGACCTCCCGCGATTCTAAGAGACCACCACGGCATAAGGGGGACCTCTAGAGGGACCCGAGATAAAGGAATAACGGTGTTTCGCAAGAGAGATAATAGAATTTTAATTGCGATTTTAAAGTGTACCGAGTAGTTTTAGGACTTTGAGATGTTAGACAATATTGTGCGATATTCAATTTTTTGCAAATATTCCGAACATATCATTCAGATCAACCGAGCGGTTTGAAAGCTATGGAACATGTATTAAAGTTATAAAAACGTAAAGCATTAGGATTGTATTTGATGAAGTATACTGAGTTTATCTAGAGCAACATAATGTTCGACAGTATTTAAATTTGTGCAAATTTGTCTATTATACCATTTGTATCAAACCAAAAGTAGTTGTTAACAATGTAACATATATTAAAATGATGCAACCTTGCTAAAACTTAAAGCAGGACGAGTACACCTAGTTGATGTAGACTTGTGGAGTAATATAATGTCCGACAGTATTTAAGGGGGTTGTTCAGTTTTTATTCATATATTTTTTAAAAAATAATCATCTCAATATCTATTTTTTTGACGAAGTTATAGATATATATCTCTATATGTATGATCCTCTGAAACCGTTTTGTTTCGTCGCTCCGCGAGCTATTGTATGCCAGCTGCTCTCTTTTTCATTATAATACCTCATGCACATGACCTTTTTAATATGTCAGCATCTTTGAACACCATGGTGTATTTAGTACATTATACTAAAAACTTTAAATACGTTTTTCTCAAATTGACTTTTTTCAATTGACGGTTTTCAATCGGATCGACTTACATTTTTTTAATTTGTTTACCACTGCAATACCTAGTCCCCCTACCTCAACATTATAACATTATAACGATAACGATACGCAAAAAAATTTTGCGAAGCTTCTCGCCCCCCAAAAAGGCCTTTTTTGACACTTTTTTTTAAAATAGCTGCCATTTTTTTCCTTCTTACTTTTTTTTCTTTCATTTTGGTAGGGGGACTGGATTCAAACTTCTTCTTCAACGTAGTTTCTTTTTTTTGTTTCAGGCGATGCGCAACGGATTTCTCTGTGGCACCGCTAAAGAGATCGATTTTGCAAGGCCGACTTTGTCGCTCCCTTATTAAAAATGACAGCGAAAAAAAATGAAAATTTCGTAATATTCTATGATTTTGTAATTTTTGTTTAAAAAAAACCGCATGCCTCTATGATAAATACATTTCGAGAAAAACAAAACAAATACATTGCATTTTTTGTAAAAAAAAACGAACAACCCCCTTAAGTGAGTACAAAATAGAATGTGCATCCTACATCAATTTTGGAGAACAAGACCAAGTTTCTGTTGGGCCTCATAATATTAAACAATAATAAAAATCATTTAATTTTGCAGAAATTTTCCTAACATATCATAAATATTGTAAGTACAGTTTCAATGTTATAAGAGGCACAATTACTAAGATAGTAGTTGTCCGCCCAAAGGCAAATCCAGGGTGTAAGAGCACCACAAATTAATGATTCCATTTCCTTCTTTTGTCTACTTTTCCAAATACCACCATTCACTTTTTGCTGCACTTTTGTGCATTTTACCTTTCTAATTTCTGCTTCGATGCTTCTTAATCCAGAGCTTCGGCTTTAAGTTTCTTGTATTATCACTTCTCACGTAAGTCACCAATCATCTGCATTCTTCTTCTTCTCAATCCTCTTGGTCTTTCTATTTCACCTTTGATAACGTCGTGAAGGGAAGGCACTCTTTCTGCAAATTGAGTCCGATCCACTTTCCTTTCCTTATATTTACATATTAGTCCAGTCATTATAGTAAGTTCACTTCGGAATTCGAGATACCCAACTGTAAGTTTGTAAATACTTGTATATTGCACCCTAAAGTTGTCTCAAAACCTACATATGGTATTGACACCCTACCATATTTAGGTTTTAAGACAACTTTAATGTGTCAATATACAAGTATTTACAGACTTACAGCTGGGTATCTCGAATTCCGAATTTCTTACTAAATTTAAGTTTAAATGACTGGACTATTGTATTTACTATGTATGTATTACTATATATTTATATTTCTTTTACTATTGCAGGAGTTTCGGCGCAAAATGCGCGAAATGCTGCAGGGTCATATCTGCCTCCGATTGGGTCCGAAGGGCTCGTGAGTTAGTTTTCCACCTAGCCTGCTTCGCCTGCGACGCCTGTGGTAGGCAGCTGTCTACCGGGGAGCAGTTCGCTCTTCATGAGGAGAGAGTACTCTGTAAAGCCCATTACTTGGAGACACTGGACGGAGGAGCGACTTCCAGCGATGGTGAGTAGAATTGACTGATACCAATATACTATTTACGTGGTATGACGATTTAAGATTTATAAATAAATCATAAATACACTAGTTGTAAATGCGCACGAACTGATTTCCTTATATTTCTTAATATTTGAATGCCAATGTATTTATACTAAACGCTCTAAACAAAATATTTAATAATTATATCACCTCAGACGGATGCGATCCCGACGGTTACCACAAGAACAAGGCGAAGCGCGTCCGCACCACTTTCACGGAGGAGCAGTTGCAGGTGCTGCAGGCAAATTTCCAGCTGGACAGCAATCCCGACGGGCAGGACCTGGAAAGGATAGCTCACGTGACTGGCCTGAGCAAAAGGGTGACACAGGTGTGGTTCCAAAACAGCAGAGCGAGGCAAAAGAAACACCAGCAGCCGACGAAAGGAAAACGTGAGTGGAACAAATTTTCCTCTTTGAATATTTTAAATTAGACTATTATCTAACGTGAGTTTTGTCGATCAATTCTCATTTTACATATCCCTCGGAAGTTTTTCCGACAACATCGTAAAATCTCACGTGAGATTAAAATTTGATTAAAATATTTAATTCTTATTGAATTTTTCTATTTTTTAGTGCATGTGACCAGAGATTCCGAGTTCAGCAGACACATAAACCTCCAGCTAACCTATTCGTTCCAGAATGGGCAATTAAATAATAACAATAATAATAATAATAACACATTATCGAATAAAACAAACACGTTATTCAACCCACACGGTTAGTAAATTGAAAAAAAATATTATATACAATATAATTCGTAATACATAGTTTTAAATTTACAATAAATGTAAAAAATAATGTAAAAAATTATATTTGTTTCAGATTCTTCAATGGACGAATTGTCCGAGGACTCATCCTTGCACTGCATGCAAAATGAGGCATAATCGATGAGGATCTAAAATTGTTTTATACAAAAAATTCCGTCACAGGATTTTCAAAGACACCCAGTAAACATGCGATATGGCCACAACATCGTGGCAATATTTTATTTAGGTCGTGTGACATGCGGTTCCCATATTCATTTTCCTCGATATTACATGGATACGGCCGCAAATTTATGTAATTATCGAACAACTATCGAGGTTCGGTCTCTGGCGCACGTGGCGTTCGTGATACATGAAAATCGACGTTGACCCACATATGTTTGTTTATTATGATAAGACCGTCTGACGTAAGGCGTTCACCCCAGTCATGACGTCATTGGCGAATGAAAACGATTCGGTCATGACGTCATACAAAATGGCGACTCAGTTATGACGTAATAGCACCTGAAAGTGATGACGTAATGCAATTAATATTCTTTTCTGTACGAATAAGCATTTATTTACGTGAATAATAAGAAATTTTACAATATTTAAATATTACAAATTAGAATTGTAGTTTTGAAATTATAAAATTTTAACATGAACTATACTAGAAAACTTTTTACAAATTATTCAATCTTAACATATTAATAACAGTATATTTAATGAAAATTGTTGTATATCTAATGAACGTAATTCTATTTTTGGGGCGTGAAGTGTGAAGTGTTGCATAAGTATTCTATCGCCACTTCCTTATACATCAAACAGCCTGCCTATTTTTCATTATTTCATTCTATCGCCAGTTCATTGCATCAAATGCCAGGATACAGATTATGCACATATGACATACTGCCCCAAATTTTGGAAGTTTTCTAAAACAAATTCAAACATAATGTGATTTACTGTATATAATATAATATATATATACAGCTACCATATGTGTAGCTACCTACATGTTCAGTGTACAAATCTCCATCATCTTAAAGTCGCTTTTACACATACATTTTTAACACTGACTGATTTCATTCTATCGCCAGTTCAATACATCAAATGCGAGGATACAGGATATTCATATATGATGTACTTCTTGGAAGTTTTCTAAAACAATTTGAAACATAATGTGTTTTATTGAATCTAATAATATATATACCACTCCATATGTGTAGCAACTTACATATTCAGGAGACAAATCTAAATCGTCTTCGAGTCGCTTTTGCACATACATTTTTTTTAACCTGATTGAATTCATTATATCTTCAGTTCATTATACATCAATACATCAATCAAGTTCATGCATATATGACATACTGTTCCCAATTTTAGAGGTTTTCTAAAACAATTATAAATATAATGTATTTGTTACCAAATAATATATATACAGCAACTATATATGAATCAACTTACATATTAAGAAGATAAATCTCCATTATCTTCAAGTTGCTCCTAAACATACATTATTTGAGCCTGTCTAAAGATCTGTATATTGTTCATCGTTTCATTCCAATTTTGTACGACTTCTGAAATAAATATGAACATGGCATACGTGTTTGCTGTTTATATATATTTGTATAGCTATTGTATTTGTAGTGACTTACATATTCAAACAATCATTCTCGATCCGCTTCTCAACCGACTAATTTAAGAGATTTAAGAAGTGAGGTTATGTCGAACACATGGATATGTTAATGTCTTAATTTAGTAAAATAATTATTTTAACCTTGATAAACGATCCTTATTATTGTCCTCAGATTTTGTAAGATATGCTATTTGGTTACCTCCTTTGTCATCTAAAGAAATCGACATAAAATAACGTTTCTTCATCCCAGGATATAATGCACTAAATGGAATTCAAAATCGTGAAGTAATTACATATCTATATAAATAATATATAATATACTTACGGTGTCATTTTTCTACACTTTTCTACAATTATCATAAACAAGTTGCTTAACTAAACGAATGTAATTATTATACTAAAGAAAATATAACTTGATGCATGATAAATTCGTGACATTTTGCGCCATTTTGTACGCGGTTAGGTTAGCTTTCGTCAAAGAAACAGTCGGTTCCACCAGTGGCCACGGCGCGCTGATGTAAAGCTTTCTTTGTATGGTCACACACACCGGCACACAACGCACACAACGCAGCGCACGACGCGTTTGCTTCACGCCGTGTGACGTCATTGATTATGCTTTGCATGTGTGCTAACACACACCAGCGCACGACATGTATCTCACATGAAATTCAACGATGTCATTACCCCCGACAGCGCGTGTTTATGTCTCGTGAGACAACTCAATGCGAGCTTTGCGTGTATTGTAACACACACAAGCGCATGCAAGTTTAAAATCCTCTTGTGGCGTAGATTCGATAACCGCATTATAATAACGATGTCGATATTATAGAAGATCACATCGCGTGTTTACTGGGCACAGTTTAGAAAAAAATTTAGATTTTTTTCTGAAGATGTCTATGTTTAATATTATTTTGTAAATAAATTAATATATGTATAAGATTTGTTCATACCTTTGTAAATATTGTATTTTAAGAAACTTTGTGTATATTATCGTATTTATTACCCTATAGTTATTTATTAATTTATTTAAATAAATATATATTTAAAAAGACACAAAAAGATAATTATCTGTATAAGATAGAAAACGTAATCTTTTTGTAAAACGACTGAACGAACAATTTATATATATATATATATATATATATATATATATATATATATGCATACACTTATAAATTTAAAAATATATTCAATGTGTTTATGTAAAAAAAATTGTAATATATAAAATAATCTGCATTCGAATTAATAAATCGTGATATATTATGTTAAAAAATATGTTTCAATTTTTTTTTGTGTAAACGATCATTACCGTGGGAGAAACGCAAAATTATATTGCTGAACCGATTTTAATGCTTCAACAAAAAAAAATTGATCCTTGCTTATAACAAAGGCAAGTTCCCACGTGGCCAATATCGGACGTTTAACCCCAACATTGTAGATTTTTTCGTACTCTACATTTTTCACAAATATTTTAATAAATATAGATGAACAATTTAAAATTTTCAAGACATATAATAAGTAGAATAAAGGTAAGCAGGATCACACACATCACAAAGAGAAAGAACATTTAAAAAATCCCAAAAATAACAGAATTCCACCTGAAAGAACAGATATAAATTAAATGCCCAATATAGATTAGCAAAATATTATCTTTGGTAGTATTATGTACAATATGTATAACATTTTAATTATAAACTAAACATTTATAAATAATTTCGCTTATGCTAATAGTGAAGTAAAAATTTTATAGTAATGTTAAATTAGAATAATCTCTTAAAATATAGTACGCAGTACAAGTTTCTGGACAAAAGCCTGATTATTATGTAATATACATAAAAAAAACAACAGATATAAAATTACTTATTTCGTACGTTTCGGACGCTAAATGTGTCAATCTTCAGCAGTTCCCAAACAGTTCCTAAATTCATTTGAATACAAATGGTACAAAATACAAAAAAAGTTACAAGATACATTGCACTTAAAAATAATTTTATTTAATTTTTTACATTTTTATCTTATTTTTATATTAAATATCATTTGCATTAAAATGATTTTATATATAATGTACTATGACATAGATATAGTGCACGAAACGTACATAATAAATATTTCTTAATATACACTGATTTTTTAAAAATTATTTAAACATATAACGACATCGTATCACGTTCATAGCTCTTACACTAATTTTAACTTAAAAAATAAGTAAACTAAGAAGTTGAGTAATTTTAATAGTACAATAATTAATCCATACTAGCACCCAGATTTTCTTACAAATAGTTTGATTATACAAACGCGTCAAAAATTTTTGATTCAAGCCCATATTTTCAAAATAGAAATTAATATTTAGTATCTTATTTAATTTTGGACAAATTTATTAAATATTACGATTCACACATATATTATATACAATAAATAAATAACATTTCAATTGTCTATGCAATGTGTTCAGAGCTAGTATGGTTAAAAAATTGATAAGTAGGCTCTACATATAAAGGCAAACTTTATTAAAATACTGACTAATATTCGCAATAAAGCACATTTTAAAAATCTCTTCTTATGCTAAGTAATAAGTCTTTACGTATCTATAAAATATAAAAATATTAAATACTATTTACAATATCAATTTTCCTAATCAATAAATACTATTCGTGTTAACAATTTATAGAGTTGAAAAACTAAATCAACCCTTAAATGCAGCACCTCGATAAAAAATAAATATCCATTTATTTCTGATTTTCAAATTTCTGTTGTAACGCAGCAACATTAGAATTTTTGATTACGGGGAATTTACTTGCAGCTGGTTTTGATGTGTCGGTAGTGTTGGATTTGTGTAAGGAACTCATGTTGGGTTTGTTCACAACCTTGCCAGTTGCATCACTATTTGACTTATTGGTTAGTGAATTATTTTTGGGCTTTGGAGTTACTTTAGGTTTTTCATTTGTGCTTGTTTTACTGGTTGTGGCCTTTGATGGTGGTTTGCCATTGACTAGCTTAGAGGATGTTGCACTTTTGGATGAAAATTTATTCTGACTATCTAAAGTAGATTTTGGATTCATTGTTGTAGATTTAGCTGCGCTAGGTTTAAAACTTGTTGGCGGTGTCGTCTGTTTACTGTTACCCGATTTGGTTGATTGAATCGAACTTGTCTGTTTACTACTACCTTTTGGAATTGATGATGCAGAAGCTTTTGCATCCAAAGCTTGTTTTATTGAACTTACTGTATTTTTTTCTGGTTCTACATCAGGTTTGCTTATATTTATACTTTGAGGATTCACATATCCACTACTGGTTGTGCTTGGAGCTGTGTTCATGTATTCACTATCAGGTCCAGTGTTGACATATATCGCCTGGCTGCTATCTGAGTCACTGGCATATCCTCCTCCATAAGATGTATCTTTACCATTTTTCTTCAAAGTAGATGTAGAATATATAGAATCAAAATTCCTATGCTGTATTTCATTCACAATTTCACCCAGCAAACCAACGCTTTCACTGCTACCTGACTGAACGGACTTAAAGCTCTGCGGCGACAACAAATTTTTGTCTTCCTTACCCTTTGGTGGCGAATTTTCCTCGATAACTGCATATATATTATCATTACTTGAAGGTGTCAACTCTTCGCTGATGTTAGCCAAAGGTGCTATCGCTTCATCATCATAAAATTCTACTGTTCGTTGTATTGGCACTTGATAGTCAGACGCCGCAGCAAGTTTGTCCAATTCCGCCAGTTTTTTGTTTACTTTTTCTTTGTCGGGAGTGTAGTCTGGTCTGGGAGGGGGTGGTCTGTTGGGTCTAGTGTTTGTTGAAATAGTTGTAGGTCGTCTGCTACCGGATGGTTGACGCATGGAACCAAAATTAGGTATGTTTGGTCTCTGAGGTGACGAAGGCGATCTCATACTTTTGGACCTGGTGACCATGGTACGACCGCAATCATCATCTTCAGAGTCTGACATCACACATACAGTACCATCCGGTAATACAATGTCCTGCTGCAAAATCGGATTAGATATTTGTAGATTCTTTAAGTCCAAGTTTTTGTTACCCTTGCTAGTGCGTGTTAAAGTGGAAGTGTTGCTTTGGGATTTGCTTTTGTCCTTGTTCAAAAAACTGGCTATCCTATTCAAAGCGTTGTTGGAATTCTCTTTAGTTAACTTTTTGATGTCACTGGCTGGATTTTCAAGTATATCACCTGTACTTTGTGGTCTTGCTGCTGGCGGGACTTCAGGAGCCGATCGAATTGGTATACTATTAGAATGCTTCAAAGGCGAGATCAATTCTTTCCTCGTGCATGTAGAGCCTTCCAAAATCGGTTCGGAAATCAACGGTCTGGCATGCGATCCTGGATTCAAGGGAGGTAAAGCTGGTTTCAAATCCTCAATAGTACTTTTATCCCAATGTACTGTATTCTTAGTCTGTTTCTTTGGTATATCCATTTTACCAACAGAATTATTTTTTATCACTGGAGCTTGTGGTACAGGAGGTGCACTTCGCACAGGAGCCTTGGAAGGATCTTGAACTTTAGTCGTTGGATGAACCAAAGCAATATTTTTACCATTTCTCCTGTCATTATTCAGATTTATGGGCGGAGCATTGGACGATGGAGAAGTCTCATCACCTGTTTTACCCAAGGGTGTCAAACTGAAGCCTTTGAAGTGTCCGAAGAACATATTTTCTTTTGCATCTCCACTACCTGTTTGCAGAAGGGATGAGCTCAGTTCATCGCAGCTTTGAGGACTCGTAGAATTGATGATAGATGTGGGACTTGTAGGACGGAATGGCAAGACGTTTCCGCGTCTCTGAAAGTCGTTTTGTTTGGACGACGATTTTCCGGTCGGTCTAAAAATGCGTAGACAAGGAATTAATATCTTGATGGTTTTTGCTAAGTGAGAAACCACACCTAAAGCTCAAGTGGTGCTAAATAAAAGCGGTGCAACTAATTTAATAACTAATGTGTACGTTAGCGGACTCATTGTCAGTGCAACATCTCCATGGTGAATGTTTCAACATACATTAATTAACAACATAAACATTAAATGGTTAACCTAAATATAATGAAAGTTATTTCACAAACTAGGTGTATGCAGCATGTTTTTAAAAATTAGAAAATAACAATAATATTATTATTGTTTGGTTTATAGAAGATCAATCGATGCACATATATGATGTATATAAGTTAAACAAGACCATGCAATAGATGTAAAGACTAAACAATAGATGTAGGTGAATAGAAGAAAAGAGCCAACACCTATTTATAAAGATTTATTTACTAAAAATATACATAATCACATTTAACTAAAAATACAAGCAATGTTTCAATATTATAAACCACATTTATATCCATAAAAAAATCTAAATATAAATTCCTCGATTAAAACGAAGTCTATAATATTGAAACAGTGTACAAGATATAAAATACATGAAAAGGAGGATACAGACAACAACAAAAAAATACAGGATGCGAAAAGACGAGCACAAAAATTACAGCACACAAGAAAATGTGGAAAATATAAACAGTGCATACAATTAAATGTATAAATACAACAGCAAACATGCATTACAATTTTTGATGAAGAGATCATTGTGAAAACATTTCAATGTACATGAATTCAAAATGAAATGATTTTCTTTGAAATATTTTCAATGTAAAATTATTAGGTTTAAGTTAACAGAAATTTTGATCTTTGGTATGCAAATAGATTCATAATTTTGAAATCTAGATCAAGGACAAAAAGATTCCGCCAAATGTTCTTTGTAAATGTCTATTTATGATTAAAATAAGAAATTTTATCTTGAAAACTAGTTCTGGGTATAGTAAATATTTTACTTTCACTATTTCTATTCAAAATCAAGGGATTAGTCGTTGAAACCAATCCAGCCGTCTTAATCTCTATATTCTTCAACCCTGACGATGATGATTTTACATCATCGGCTACATTTTTATCATCTTTAGAGTGAAAAAATCTATTAAAACAAGTTGGAGAAGTTTCGGATTGAATTTCGTTCGTTTTGTGAGTGTGAAACAGGCAAGTGCATGTGAAAAATTCTACAATTTTCTGTTTGTTTGGTACGTACGACAGTTTGGTGCTGGTGATCTTTCTCTTGAACAGGACCGGATTCTGCCGATAATAGAAACTCAAGAGCGCACAGAGGGCCATCAGTGGGACGATTCCTAAAAATATCACGTACATCGAGACTATGAAACCACGCCGAGCTGAAATAGAAAAAATTATATACATTATATTGATATACAGAAGTAGTTCAAATTTATATAATATATTATTCCTCTTAATTTTTGAACGCACGCGCCATAAGTTCATTTATTCGTGTGAGTAACTTCCTACTTTTGTAAAACTCCTAAATAAAACAATATAATAATAAATACTAACTAGTTGATATTGGTATCTTCGGGAAGTTAATGTTTTATATTTGCTGAGACCAGATTTAAAACTTACCATCAGGATCCGTGGCCGGACCACTATCTTCGGAGCCTCCAGGTCCAGGATAGTCGCACAAAGGGGGCGCATAGCCCGGCTCACAATGGCAGTGACCTAAGGAGTTGCAAATCCCGTGCCCATTGCAATCTCCAGGACATTTGTGAGCAGTTGCACGGAGAGAAGACACTGACATGCACTTCTGATTGACACACATCTAAAAAAACAACAGCACTGGTGAAGAAAATAGTGGTATATTAGAATAAAGTTCTATTTTTCTATCACTGACCTTTCCCTCGCCACACTTTGCCCCATCAGGTGTCAATCCTGGATCAACTTGATTCAGACCCAAATCGACAATGGCAGTCCTGCAAGGTATTATGTTTCCTTGCACATTTAAAAAATTGTAGGACAAGATGGAAACGGATTCCATTCCGAATTCCAAACGCTCGTTCAAGTGTTTACACTGCAACATTCCACAGAAAATGTGCTCGTCTCGACACTTGAGGAAGGTTTGGTTCAAACGATTATAGCCACAGTTTCCATTTCTAGAAAAATGGCAAATGATAATTATTATATTATTAACTTCCCGTAGGGTAAGTTATAGTAATCGCAAAAAAATCGAAAATGAAAATTTTTATATATCTTTACGTTTCAGAGGTTTCTGAATATTTTGGCATACCTTAGAAAATATGGATGTATGTGTGTGTGTGTGTGTGCGTAGTATGTATGTGTGTGCGGATACAAATTTTCGTCGATGATTTCGGGAACACGGATGAAGCAATTTGAATAATTTAAAAAACATTCGATCCGTATTGATAAGGAGACGTGCTGATTAGTTTTTGGCGGAGGTAGGTTTAGCCGTTCCGAAGATATGAGGCACAAAGTGCCAAAAACGGTACTTCAGTTTTTGATAGAACGGAGCGTCCGATTTTAATAATTCAAAAAACATTTTACTTAAGGTTTAGCGGTTTCGGAGATATAACGAAAAAAGTAAAAAAAAATGCCATTTGGCGGTCAAAAATGATCATTAGGCATATGCACATCAAATTATCAGATATTTTATAGAGATTTTAACAATAAGTATAAATTTTGTTTACATTCCTATGGGTTCCGTACCAATGTTTACCCGTTAGACAGCGACGCGGCGCTTACGCGCTTTATATTTTGTCTCTATGCATTTTAAGCAGTGCGATTGCTTTGAAAAATAGTTCAGATCTTCCAACATATGTCAAAATAAAGAAAACATTTTTTTTTCAAAAAAAAGATTTAAAAAAAAAAAAAAATTAAATAATTTTTTTTTTCAAAAAAAGTAATTTTTTGTCAAATTTATAGTTTCTCAAAAATCTTATTTTTTCGATGTTTTTTTCAAAAATGTTAATCGTTTTTAAAAAAAATAATCATTTTTGGTACGGGAAGTTCCAGCAATTTGCCTTAAGGCACGATGCCCTAATTGCCTTAAGACAGAATTCCACTTACAGCTAGTTTAGTTTAGTAAAAACTTGCAACATATTTTATTGATTTCAAACTAACAGTAAAAAAAGTTACAAGATAAAATACAAGCACTAATAAATCTTACACATGTAATTAGTATAACTCTTTCATATTTTTGTAGCATTTCTGTCAATTTTCACAACCACAAACATACTTGCCCAAATGCCTTTTCCATATTGTGAATTGATGAAAGACTAAAGTCACATTTTTACAAGTATGATACAAGTATAGAAACGCATCAAGAAATGCTTTGATTTAATTTTGCACCCACTACCAGCTGTACAGATTTAAAAAACACATGTACTGCCGTTTAAAAGTGCTTCATTGAAATAAACATTTAAAAATATAATAAATACAAACCTGTTTCCTCTCGAGTTCGATTTGTAACACTCATCACCTGATGATAGTCCAGAGGGTCCCCATAGCAACTTGCACTGATCGTTCCTGGTTCTGCATGTACCTTGGTAGCAAAAAGCCTAGAAAGTAAAATATTATATAATATTAATAACAATAGATCATTGATTATTATAATTTGCCACTTTAACTGTTAAAGTATATATATTAAAAATATTTATTATTAAATTTACCTTGCCACCATTACATTCTTCAGTATTTCTTTTATACACATCTGGTGGGCAAAATTCATTGTCACCTGTACAATACTCAGGCAAATCACATTCATGGTCATTGCTTCTGCACAAAGTTCCTGCCTTCTTCGGAGCACAAGTCTACAGAAATGAAAAAAAAAATCCATCTATCAAACTTGTTCAATTTCTAGATTTTATATTTCATTTATTAATATTTTATAGTTACTTCTAAATCACAGCATTCTCCTGTAGCACACGTGGCATTATGATGAAGCATACAAGTGGTAGCATTGCAGCAAGAGTTTTGACACCGAGATGGAAGTCCACAATCACATTCTTCACCATCTTCTAAATAACCATTTCCACACACAGGACTTCCAAATAATCTTTCAGGCTTATTTCTATAGGAGAAAACGATATTGTAAACAACATTTCAATTATAAAAATATGGTAAACTAAAAATATTGCATTTTGTAGCATTTCAAGTAGCTTCCGTAAACCATTATCACGCTTGCTCCAACAATTTCATATTATAAATTGATGAATGACAAAGTCACGTTTTCACAAGCATGTTAAAGATTGACGAATACATCAAGAAATTCTTTTATTTAGCACCCACTACCAGCTGTACAGATTTAAACACTGTACCGCCGTTTAAAAGTGCAATAAAAAATTCTATTGGATAAAGAATGTATAATAAATCAATTGAAATATATATATATATATATATATATATATATATATCTTATAAAAATGGAGCTCTCTTTCAAATGTCCAAGTAAAACTCGAAAACGGCTAAACCGATTTGGACAGTCTTAGTCTTGAAAAATTCGTGCCAATCCAGAGAAAGTCCAAAAGGTGAGAAATTATTTCAAATCCGCGTAGAAACTTTACATTTTTAATTTGCAAATTTTTGTAGAAGCGTAATTTAAATAAAACAATGGACGGTGGCAATTACGTGAAATGTCAAACGCTTTTGACAGATGATGTTCAATTACGTTTAATAGGATGTTTTACGCGAATATTATTTTTTTGTGATAAATGTGTAGTAAGTAGTTTTGTTTGTAGTTTGATTTATATACAAAAACGTTAGTAAACGGGCCGCAAGTGTTACTAGAGACTCAAAATATAAACTTTTTTGATATGTTAATATAAAAATGCACTTTTTGGCATTTTTTTCTCAAACACGGTGCTCTGAAAGATCTCATTTGTATAATTATATACTCATTGGTATTTATAAAACATTTTCTAAGTTATATTATTTTTTGTTTATTTAAAGTCAGAACCTAAATTTGGTATCGATCAAAGGAACATTTTGTCGAATAACATTTTTCCAGTTATAATTTCTCAGAATTTATATATGATAGTAATATATGAAGGTCCGGGGTTAAAAAGGTCCACCACCGATGTGTCAAAAATCAGTAAAGTTAAGCATTGTTTAACAGCAATATTTGAAAGTTGAGGAAAAAAGATGTATAACCAGCTATAAACTTGATTCTTTTGACTTTGCTTATGGGAGATAAACGGTAACCTTTGAAAATCCATAATAAAAGTATTTTCTTCCGTTGGTAGTTTTTTAGCTTTAGTTAAAAATGTAATTGTTTTGTGAAGTACCTTTAACTTTCTACACTGATGAAGTAGCTGACATTTTTACTAAACGTGGTCAGATAATTGTTCGTTTGAAATGTGTTATTTGCTGTGATATAATTGGTTTGATTTATATAATATCATTAATATTTGCTCAAAGTCAAATTGGACCTTTGTGTCTCGTCCTGCTCTACATATATAATTTTTATTTTAATTCATCGAATGTTACTTGAAACTTCTCAAAAAGCAGGTCAAAGAAGAAATGCCTAATTCATTTTTTATCTCTCCTCGCAAAAATTTGAAAATTTTGTATAAGCTCAGTAGTATTATTTACAATTATACACAAAATCCAGAATCCAAAAAGAATCTGAAAAATTTGAAACGTAATTAATAAGCCGAAAGACCAAAAAAGACTCGGATTGGATTATACGATGTTTTCTATAGAAAGTGTATAAAACTTGCAGTTTGATTGTATTGACAAAATATAGACAAACTAATGGGGTTTATTGTTTTTATAATACCTAATTGTATACAGCATTCAAACAACACATCCTTATGCACTTAAAGTATTAATATTTTTGATTCTCTAGAAATGGTTTAGAATATACCTTATTTAGCAAAACAACGTTTGCCGTTTTCATATATATATATATATATATATATATATATATATATATATATATATATATTTACCTCAGGCAATATTCCATTCCGTGTTCAAATGCCAGTGCCAAATATTCAAGACTGCAACTGGACCAATGATTAGGTATAATCGTGCTTGAAGAAGCTGCCATGATGCATCTCTCATCTGGGCAATCACATTCTGAAGTATCATGTTCCATTCCTAAAAAAAACAAAGAATTTACATAAAAAACCCATGTTATCAATATGGAAGTCTTATTAATTAGTATTATCTCAATATTTTATTACTTACCAAAGTTATGGCCCATCTCATGGGCCATAGTTGTGGCTACAAGACCGACCACCTCAGAATGATCCATTGAGACTCCACCGCTGTACTCATATGTGCAGATAGGGCCCTTCAAAGCTTTTCCAACAACACCACCATCAAACTGGACACGACTAGAATAAAAAAATGTAATAAAGTAGATGTACAATCACAACAAAGTCAGAACAAAATCGATATCTGGATATAAATTGAAATGTGGATTTTTTTTATTGTAGCTTTTCTTTCAACTTGTAGACCACAGTCATCCTTGCTCAAACGTTTTCATATTGTAAATTGATGAATGACTAGATGTCATGTTTTCACAAGTATGCTAAAAGTCTACAAATATATTCGGAAATGCATTTCTTCAGCACTCACTACCAGCTATACAGATAAAGAACACATGTATTGCCGTTTAAAAGTGCAAAGATAAACTAGAAATCATATATATATATATATATATATATATATATATATATATATATATATATATATAATATTATAAAACATGCACCAAGAGATGTATACTTTGGTGTGATAAGTGTATAGTTTGAAATTCAGAAACAGCTCCACAATATAACATCAACAGACAGATTCTTATTCAAATCTACTCTAATTTATGTTTATCATAAGGTATAAAACTATTTGGCAATCAGATAACTGATGTGATCGATATGAAATAATGTTATTTTAAAATACACTACAAATTCTAATTGTTCAATAACTTAAATCTCTATTACACTTACGTGAGTAATTGCGCATTATCATTAGGATGATCTTTGACCAATCTTTCTCTCCTATAATGCAAAAAATTCGTCAACGTTTTGTCCCCATCGCTGACTAAAGAAATTTCATCATTCTCGGTCCAGATCACAACTCCAACCAGGGCGATGAAAATATTCAGAGGAGAATACAACTAAAAAAAGAGAACAATTTTAATACAAAATTCAATAACTTTGATAATGAAATAAAATAATTTTGCTTGCGGATTGCTGAAATAAAAGTGGATTCTATCACGTAAATCTGTGCCTCGCGATTCTTGCACGTGGTTGTAGGTTATATCACTTTTAAACCAACTTTTTTCGCACTTTTGAAGAATATAATTTAAAAATATTATTAAAATTTATCTTTCATAAGTTTGATTGGTATTTAGCACTGATTATTGTTTTTTTTAACAAAATAATTGTCGACACATAACACAATACACCTCAATGAAGGATATTATATTGTCTAGGGGATATTGCATGAAGACAAGAGCGCCGAACAGGTGCAACTAACTATGGCAAGGAAACAAAGTTTATATTTATAAGCATAGATGTCTCCGGTGACTAAATACAGCCTAAACTAGTGGAGTACATGGCAAAGGTAAATTGCTGGAACTTCCTATACCGTAATTAAAAATCTTGATACGGAACCCAAAAAACATTTACACAAAATATGTACACATTATTAAAATCTCTATAAAATATCTGATAATTTGATGCACATATGTCCAATAAACATTTTTGACCGCAAAATGACATTTTTTAATTTATTTTTATTGAGAGTCCAAAAACGCTGGACCTCGAGTAAAATTTTGAATTATTCAAATCGGTTGTTCGGTGTTCCCAAAATCGTCGGCGAAAATTTGTATCCGCACACACACACACACATACACATACATCCATTTTTTCTAAGGTATACCAAAATATTCAGAAACCTTTGAAACGTAAAGATATATAAACATTTTCATTTTAGATTTTTTTGCGATTACTATAACATACCCTACGGGAAGTTCCACAAAAACTTTTGGCTAAGGTAAATACTTGAACTATTTTTGTTAATACAAATAAGTTATTACGCAAATTTGTTATTAAATTAGATTAGACATAATACATTCTAATAACAAAAAGCCTTAATGCAAAAGAGCTAATGTAAGATTTATAATATAATGCATTTTGGATACGGAATGTTCAGCCAACATGCATTTTTTTCATTTATTAAACATAACTTTCAAACCGTTCGTCTAATTTGATTTAAATATTTGACAATTATGTAAAAAATTGCCTAACATTATAACAACCTACAAAAACTGGGTATATTTGATAAAGCTATTGAATCTGAGAGCGTTCAAAAACAGTATTTGGTATCTACTTTTTGGTGTATTTATTTATTGTAACTTTTAAATTGTTAGTGTAATTTAAGAGTAATATTCGACAAATATCTACAAAATTAAATTATCTACAGCAGCTTCCAATATAATATTTCAATACCCGGTATACTTGAAAATCATATTTGAGAACAGAAAATAATTTTAAGCTCATTTTAGTTGTGTATCCGCATCAACTTTTCGGTACAAATACTTATTACATTTCTTGTAACCACTAAACTGTTTATGCAATATAAATAGTTATAGTAAGTCATTTACTATTACTTACCGAATTAATAATATTAGCAATATCTTTGCAATGTCTGTAAACTTTTCCTGTATTTTCGTCCAAAGCTTTAAATTCTTTGTTATCTACTACTAATAAAAGTTCAACATATCTGGATTGTTGATTAGAATTATAAGGTCCTTTGACATTTCTGATTTCTGCACTTCTTTTATACTGGAAAATGGAAAAATTGAAAAGTAATTAGAAAGTGCCAAACTTATTATATTAACATAATTAAAATTAATTTGATAACTCACTCTTAAAATTCTGTGAAATTCATGTTCCTTTGCATTGTGAGCATGTTGAGCCTCAAATTCATTTTTGTAACCACAAGTGAAATTATTTGGTTTTAAGTGTCGATGCCTAAAAATAGGAAATAGAATTAAAAACGAAATAAAATTAATATTTGCCAAATTTGAACAAAATTAAATGATCTATCCTGAAAATAATTGAACATACACTTATATTACATTTTATACTGATGTATTTATAAAATTTATATGAATTCAAATTATTAAAATTCATATTAAAATATTAATTATGATTAACTTTGTCTAATATTTATCATTTTCCACTTACTTGTAAACAAAATGCTGTCCATTTTCGAATCCTCGTTCTGTCGAAGTCTTATTAAGGGGCTCACTGTGTAAATAAATAATTTCTTTACCGTCGAAAAGAGCCCCTTTCAAAAGCCCCTCACATGTCGAAACAGCCGCCCACGTGTTATCCACACCTCTGATCACACCATTGTAATGACAAAAATCTATATCCTAATAAATAATTTATTAAATAATAAATAAATATATACTATTAATAATAACAAATATTTATTTTATTACTTACTTGGTATGCAGGTTTATTTATGACATGTTCTCCGTTTTTTTGCGTTTTCTCAAAATATTCTTTGGATACTAAATCGTGGTTTAATTTTAAATCTAATATTATTTCTCTACCATCTAAATCGTAAGTTATACTAATATCGTGTGTGTGCAAAGTATCCTACCAAAAATCAACATTGATAAATTTTTTAATAAAAAAAATATTGAAAATATTCAATGAAATTTTTTGCTTACGTTTTCGATTGTCGTCGATATTTCACGTTTTTCTCGTCCGTGATAAAATTTTGGTTTGATAATTGTGTGATGTGAAAATTCATCTGCAAAAAAAATATTAGTATATTAGTATATTAGTTGCTAAGAAATCAGATTTTGAAAATTATCCAAATGGTATCTTCAATCCAATATGATTTTTAACTAGTGCATTTAGCATATCTTTAATAATAACGTAATATATGAACTTTTCTTTAAAAAATATGTAATATTTGACCATAAAATTATAAAAAAATAATTTGTAATGCTGTCTATCATCAAAATGCATTACAACAACTCGATATACTTTAAAAGAGTGATTCAAAATTTTAAAGGTGAAATGCAACACTCTAGAACTGTTGCTTCAATATTAGTGAAACATTAACCAAATTCTTGCAAAACTAAATTATCTATAATGTGATAAATTATTATTATTAAATTATTACTTTGTCGTAGTATGTAATTTGAATGGCAATTTAAAACAGTCGAGGGAACGGAATTGAACTCTTACATGAACCACTGACCCGTCACAAATGCATTTGACCCTAAAGGGGGCCATTTGGGTCCTCTGATTTGATTCGCTCCCACGTTTTATTAAAAATCTACAATCCCAAGTTTATATACAACATACCGCATTGCTGGAGGATGGTAAAATGATAAAAAAATAACGTTTTACATAAAATTGTAAATGCATAATTTATATTAATTGAATGGTTTCATATTTATATGCAATTAAAAAATTCAAAAATAAATTCATTTCATATCCGTCTGTATTTAGTTCAATTCTATAGTATACCTAGTAGAAGGCATTTTGTACCACATGGATTTCTTTCCAATTCAATGCTTTCTAAAGGTTTTTAACCCCTGATCTCTTTCTCCTATCCTTTGAGAATTTATATATAAAATATTCCAAGAGCGTCCGACCGACCGGGCCTCGGATTTCGTGAAATCAATTTTATAGTCTCATCAGACTATTAAATTCATTTCTCAGAAATTCTTATATTTCATGTTTTATTATTAAATCGAATTGCTGTATTTATTTATGTTTTCACAAAACATAAAAGTTCAGAGAATTGACCTCAAAATTTCATTGACCTTAAGTGATAATTTGTTTTTAATTAATCTTGTACAAATACTCATTAGCATGTGGTAATTACTCATTTCACAAGTGCACGATAAAAAAATAAATATTGAGCACTGAGTGATACATTTTTTTTGGAAAGAAATGTTGTGTACTAATTTGTTAGTTCACATACAATTATGAGTCAACGACTTTTAATTTAGTTTTTCAACTATAACTTTTTTGTAATTTATGTTTTTTGAAATAGAATAAAATGTTTTAAAAAATGAATTGATTAAGAAAATGCGACATGAATCGTAGTGATGTATTCGTTTTTTATTATGTAATTTTTTTTCTTTGAAGGTGCAAAATCTATATATGTTACCTAAGAAGTTTATTATAAATAATTTATATAACTGGTACTTAGAGAAAACCACAATCCTGAGAATTAATAAATTATAAAACAGTTCTTGTGAATAAATAAATCAAATAAATTGTAGAGTTCGCAGTGTTTTACTTTTTATCAAACAAGTTCTGATCTTTAAAAATTTCAAAGCCTGTTAATTCAGGTAAATAATATTTTGTCTGAAAAAAATTATCGAATTAAATTCGTAGACAGACTTTCTATATTTTAATGACATTCTTGATTGATGAAAGTTTTTTATCGCAACATAATATTATATTTTTGTCCTACTTTCTAATGCATTTTTATCCACAACTTTATCGACTCATTAAATAATTAAAACTGTAATTGATAATCGCAATGAAAATACGCTGTACTCAATATATCTACTTTAACATCCATTATCTAATTAGTAAATTTATAATAGAAAATATTTATAATTGTATGATATATTTATATAAGTAACTTTCTGTATAGAACATACTTCAGTATATATTAATACATGAAAAATTGAAATTACTAAAAACTGAAATTACTTACTGTCGTTTGATTAGATAAACATTAATCTTTGTTTATTTTCATGAACAAAATTCACAGACAAAAACGGAATTGTATTTTAATATATAAAAAATTACATTTTGTATCTGTTGTAGGTATATATGTGTGTATGGTGTATGTATTTTATATTAGTTTTTTATAATCACAAGTGTTTGCAGATGTTGGAACGACAGACAGACCATTTGAAAATGTTCACTATTTCTAGAATCAATATTTGCACAATGTCTGTGATATCTGATATGTTTTGCTAGAGACTCTTGGAAATAGAACATACTACATTTTATTTTAAGTGTCTGCATTAATGGAGAAAAAACTTAACTAACTCTTAACTTGTCTTCATTTTTCAATATTTTTTCTATAACTTATACTAGACCCATCAAAGAATTCAATGTTTAAATTGAAAGACTATAGTATAGTATAAATGATGAGTCCTGTAGAATTTATAAAACTAAGAATATAAATCGCTGAATTCCAACATGGTCCATATAGACCCTCATAACTTTCAAGATGTCCACGTCAAAAAAGAAAAATTGTGGGTCTATAAATTTGGGAACCTATGATCTAAATAGATCATCAATTTACGTTGTTTTTTCACTCCATCCATTTCAACTTATTAGGTACTTTTCTAAATATCATGAAATGATATTATATACTATTCTTGTATATACATTAAGGAATAGAATATTTATTTGAATTATAAAACCGTAGTAGAAACGATGCGTCCTGCAAAGCTCCTTGAGTTAAGTATTATTATTAGTATATTAATTTGAACTCAAACACAAATAAGTATTCAAATCTAATTCTAAAATATGAACTTTGTGGGTTACAACACTCTCAATTTACATACCATAATAATAATAACTATTTACATTACTAAAGTAATTTATATAATCAAGCACAAAACAATGAAAGCCAATTAAGAAAACGCCACGCAAAGTCGTTCACATGAACTTCTATATATAATATTATAATTTAAATAGATATAAACTATTCATACGATGTTAATAAATTAATATAATGTGGGATTGCGAATAAGGATCTTAAACTTCCTTCGGCACACCCTCTATTGCAAAATTGTATTTTGTCTAAACATTTACTCATTGTTAGTTGCGCAAATGTAATAAGAATATATGTAGAAATAGAGATTCATGCTTTTGAAACAATTTTCATAATGAAACAAATACGCCGGCTTGCACTCAACCTGAAAGAACACTTCGTCTTAGCAATTATAATTGAACGAGGCCAGGTTTTTTCCGAGTTGACATTCAACCTGAAATATCGCGACGTTTCAGGTTGACGCACAAACCGCCGGACGCGGTTTTCGCGCAAACTAAATAAAGCAAAATTGTTTAAATTTAAAGAAATACTTATACGTGAAACATTTTATATATTGATAAACAATTTTGGCTTCATTATTGTTATATATAATGTTGATAATATTTCATGATTAATACAAGATTACTCTATATATTTTATATAAAGTGATGAATAATGTGTGGTTGAATTTATATACACAGTTGACATTGAAATTTTTATAATTTATTTGATAAGCTGTCTGTATCTTTTTTTATTAATCTTTTATCATTACAGAAATTGTTTAAATAGTATGATAAAATAAACAGCACGCACTCAATATTTACCAAAGGCCACTTCCTCTCTTCGAACAAATAGAGAAGAAAATATGTAAAAAATCTTATAAACGTAAAAAATCAAAATATACACATATACACACACACACACACACATATATATATATATATATATATATAATTTTTTTTCTTCAAATAATATCAGAAGCTGCATGCATTCTGCCGGATATGAAAAAAATAGAGTCTGATATATAAATGTATTCTCTGTTATTTTTTATTCTAATATTATACCAATATTTTTCTTAAAGTTATACGATACTTTTCAAATTAATTTTTTAATAAAATTTTAAACATTGAACAAATTTTAAAGTAAGAATTTAATAGAATTCAAATTAATTTAAATTAAGTAACTTTAAAAACCCAAATTGCTGAAAATCTGTTTAATGCCAGGAAACTTTTAATAAATTATAACTCAAATTTCTACACCAATAAGAAATTTAATTTTGGAGATTTATATCAGAAAAATTACATATTATATTCGAAATTCAGAATTATCATTTATTGACCAAAAAATAAAAATATCTTGATAGTTAATGCATTTTTTCAAGTTTCTTAACTCTAATAAAAAGTACATAAAGTTTTTAAAGACTCTATATTAAATCCTCCAAATTCGTTCACTACTTATCGTATAAATTTAAAACTATCTATTGTAGATTTACTGGGTATTATAAATTACCTTTGAATAGTAGAAAAATATAAAAAAGCTAAATCATTTTTTTAAGAATCCTGAATTCAAATATATAAGTAAAATTACGAATTATAATTTATATAATTATAAATCACAAAAATGATTAATTTTATATGTTTTATTTGTTGTGTTGTGTGATAGCTGTTTAATTTTAATCATTTAAAAGTATATAGAGTAGAAGTATTTAAAGATTTGATAAGTATATGCAATCCAATAAAATAAAATTGTGAAGTTGATTCATAAAATGTATATGTCTAATGTACTTGTATCCAAAGTCATAAACAATAAAAAAAATCTGTTCACACACACACACACACATACTTTTTCCAAATTTGGTCTCATTCGATTCAGAATGGCTTGAAACGTCGGGAAAACATAAAATTAGCGAATCGATTTTTTTTATGAAAACATGAACTTCTCTCCTTCGGAAAGTTAAAAAGGTTTGATAAGTACTTTTTTTTTAAATTATTTTTAGAAAAGCTGAATAATGGCAAATACTAAGTACTAAATAAATATTTTTCATAGTTATACAAAATATATTTAAAATTTAAAATTTAGATTTAAGTTCATTAGTATTGTATATGTGTAACAACTTTAAATAAACAAATAAAAATAAATAAAATCTATAAATTCATCAGACAAATTTGAATTAAATTTTTTAAGATCAACAACTATAAGCTCTTCACACACACACATATATATATATACAC